ATATGCCGAATCTTCCCATAAATCCAAGGACAGATCACCTCCCTTCTCAGTTCTCCTCATTGCCTTCAAACCAATTCACCTTTGAACCCGGCAAAAGACCAACCAAACTATAAAATAGGTTAACCCCCTAGGCAAGACTTGATTTGTTGACAAACAAAAGAGTTCAGAAGTTACAACAACAATTCTATTCTGATCTCTTCCCCCCTCATACTTGGGGATTCCATTACAACTTGTTGTCATTCTACTCCATGTCACCACTCCACTCCACTTCATTTTTATTGTTTGGTTTTTGCATGGCATGGTCGCCAAGTTTACGATGCCACAACATAAACTTCATACTTCGTCGAACTGGCTGGCCGGTTGGCTGAATGACTGTCTCACTTACTTCGTTCTTTTGCAGCTTTTTTTTTTTTTGGCCAACAAAAAGAGTTATAAATGTTCAACATAAGGCAAATAAAAAAAGTGAACGACAACATCAAACCGCCAAGAAGTTGCCACTATGGCCAATAATAAAAACAACAGCTACAACAACCAAAACATACAAGATATGTAGAAAACAAAACCGGTTTTATGGGTCCCAAAACAATGGTTCTTCAGCCGACGATACGACTTATTTAGGTACGAAGTATGTTTGGCATGAATATTTTAAGCCAAGACCTACAGAGATACAAATGTATATATGTAAGGAGATATGTATGGATGTATGCATATGGGTATGTTTGTATGGCCCAAACATTGGCAAAGTTTAACGTGGAGTAATACAAAACCAAAAAAAAAGAAACCAACAAAAAAATGTTGCATCAACATAGGCCCAGAATGCAAAAAACCAAATTCACAGTGGGCCGGGGTTTTAAGACAAACAAATTCGAGAATTCCAAAACATAAAGTTTTGAGATCTTTTTTGTATTGAAATCACAAAATTGTGAACATATTTCTAAAACCGAAAACTGGGTTTTGAAATTTAGTTCTTTCGCACAAACCACAGTGCAGTTGATAGTGCATTACAGCCAGAGCTTGGTTGCAGCTATTTTTCTCACACACTGTTGGCGATTGTTGCTGTATGGGTCTTGCTTGTGTCAGCATGACGGTTCGGTTATCAATGTGTTTGTCAGTCATTCAGCCAACCAGCTTGGCAGTCTCTATGACTCGCTATGTTTACATAAAACGCTATCATATTTGATATCGCATCATATCAAACCGGCAGCAGCAGCAGCAAGTGGAATAATGGTGATGATGATGATGACGATATTAGCAATGCAGCTGGAATGATGCTCCAAAATGTAGGAAGCCGGGGGGGGGGGGGGGGGGGGGGGGGGAGATCCACAACAATAAAGGATTGTAAAACAAAAAACCCGACTGAATGGCCCAAAGGCTTGGAGAAGAGCCACAATAAAAGAGTTCACACAAAACTCTCTGCTCAATGCAGTTTCTTTGTTTTTGTTTGTTGTTTTTTTTTTCTCTCTGCACTGTAATAATGGCAACAACAACAATAATAAACAATTGCATTGATAATCGAGTGCAGGTGTAATTGGCCTGGGAAAAAGGGAGTGAGAGTGTTGTACAGCGACAGAGAGAGAGAGAGGGAGAAAAGAATATCAAGATTTAGTTCTCCTCGGTTTTTTTCTTTTTGGATAAAGCAGATGTTTTTCATTTCATTTTTTTTTTTCCAAAATCTCCTCCCCTAAATAATCTCCACTTAGATATCTAATTTTGTAAAAAATTGAAATTTTATTATTTTTGTTTTATTTTTATAATTATCATTTATCGATAACAGAATTTCGTATATTTTAAACTAAATGACTAAGTTAATTTTTGTTGTTTGCAAAATTTAACAACAACAACACTAGCTTATCATAATCGTCAACAGCAACAACTGTAAATGTTGTTGTTGGGCAGGGGAGTTTTGTATTTCGCGCGATAAGCAGTATAAAGGTGAATGATATAAAAACAACAACAACAGCGACAACTGCAAAATGTGTGACGTTACTCAGGTTGTTAACGTTTATTCGCAAGAAATTTATTTAAAAAAAATCGCAAGCAGACACACACACACAAACACACATGTATAAATATAATAACAAAAATTAAAGAGAAAACAAGGCAAATAAAAAAATTAACAAAAAAATATAATAAACCAGCAAGCAAATTAAACTGGAAAATCTAAAGCACAAAATGCACTGCAATATAATTATCGCTAAAAAAATAAAATAAAAAAAAAACAGAGAAAAACAATCCCATATTTGTCATATGAAGCGTATATAATTAGTGACTTTATTCTATAAAATATTGAAAACAAGTGTGAATATTTCTAGGAAATTTCTTTGAGTTGCATATAAAGGGGGGAGTTATAAAGGATTGAGGTTTCGACATATAAAATATTATAGCAAAAAATAATAGAAATTTTCGAATAATTTTTGTCTAGATTTGAAGTCGAGAAAAATTGAAGGACTTTGCCTTAAAGTATTACCACTCAACACAACTCTCTCGCCAGACTATTTTCTCTTAGCTCTTCTAAATAATCGTGCCTGGTTTAATGTCTCAGTCTCCACTGTCTGAGGACTCAGTCTCCAATGACTGAGTCTAATTTTTCTTAGCTCTTCTAAATCATCAAGTGACAGCTCAATATATTGTTTACAAGCGTACAAAAGCATTATGGTGAGAATTTTTAAGAAAGAAAGCTATTCGTAATGGAATTCAAGCGTGATAGTGTGATTTCTTTATATTTGGCTGAAAACCACAAGTGCCTATCGTTAAAGCACTCCAGCATTTAAATGTGAATAAATCAAAGAAGTGGACAGAAGAAAACAGCTTCATCAGCAGAAATGGTTCGAAAAGTAAAGAAGCGACTTGATCGAAACCCACGTCGCAGTGGCCGAAAAATGGCTCGCGAGCTGGACATATCGCAAAATAAGCTCGGGGTAAAGCCATTGAAATTCTAGAAAGTGCAAGAATTTACACCACAACAGAAAGAAAATAGACTCAAAATAGTTGAAAAGTTGTTTCGCTTGTCCGAAAGTGGTGAACTGCCGAATTTGGTTTTCTAAAATGAGAAAACATTCGATTTCTAGCAGTTTGCAAAGAAACAAAATGATCGTGTTTACTTGCCAAAAAGGTCAGCTGAAAATGTATACCTTCGGTTGGCCACCAGAACTCAAGCGCCGGCCGATGGTCGCTCTCCGCTCGTATTTATCGAACGTGACATCAGAACAAATGCCGAATATTATCGCGAAAATATTCTGGAGGGTGCCTTGGAGGGTGTATTAAAACCTTGGGCATGCAAACATTTTGACCGCAGACCTTGGACATTCCAACGGGACTCAGCACCATTGCACTCAACACGCGCCACCCAAGAATGGTTATAAAATGAAGTTCCTCGCTTCATTTCCAGCGCACAATGGACACCTAAATCTCCTCCGGATACCAATCCGTTGGGCTATTGTGTCTGGAGTATTTTGGAAAACTACTAACCAATACCAAAGTGTCACCTCAAGCAAGCGCTTCGCCCCGGGAATGGGCCAAAATACCGCAGAGCAGCATTCGGGCAGAGTTTGACGGTTTCATTGGCCGTTTGAAGGCAATAATTCGTGCGAAAGGTGACCAATTCGAATAAATCTAAACTTATTCTTAAATTTGTTGCTATTTCCGAAATTTTTTGATTTCATTCAATAAAATTTAAAAAAAAATGTAAAAATTATGGCGCTTGACTTTGTTGCAGTTTTTTATCTCACCCTGCACATATGGAGATGTTGAAATATTTTTGTATAGAAAAATTGGATATGGGCCCATTCTGCAATGGTTTTACTAATATTCTCCTCGGTAAACTTTAAAATGAAATATTTTGATATTTTTTTCCTATTATTCTTTCCGAAAAATGAAAAACTTAAATAATAATTAAAATCCTTAAAATCCGAAAATTTAGTACGATTCATGACGTTTTGATAAATAATAGTGTCAAACTGAACAAATTGTGAATTTGAATTCTAAAGGGACATAACGCATACTGTTGGGTCGAACCTAAAATTTTAAGGTGGACTTTTCGCTGGCAAAGAATATAAAGACTAAACCATACACAAAGGGTCTTAAATATTTTGCTCTATACTTCTGTAAAGCCTAAGATGAGCTTTTGAATTTCATACAGGCCATATAGAATGCTAAAGACTTTTTATAAAGGTATACCCTGATTTCAAGTATTTTTAATATTTAGAAATATTTTTCAGAATAATATCGGCAACCTTTGGTAATTTGAGTTCTTAGTAAGAAGAAACCATCCTTGCAAAAAATATCAACATATTCCCACTTTTTGGTATAAGCCTCAAATAAAGGTATCTACTGATTTCAGCTATTTCAGGAGTCTTGGCCACATTTTTCAATTGATTTGGGGTAGAAAACGTATTTGTGGACTTATTGGGAGACTAGCGACGGCGGAACCAGCCGCCTAGAGCACCGATTTAACGCCTTTACACCATTTTTGTAGGGCTATGTTATAGCTCATGTCTATACAGACTAGCCCGCTTCAGTTGACGCATTGGAAGACAAAGATCAAGTATTTAATCCTGAGATGCCGGCCGAAATTGTTGAAAAGAGTATGCCAAAATTGGGCTAAGCCGATAGGCCATTTGAGACACAGTTTCGATCAACATTTGCATAAAATAATGTTCAAACATTTAATTATATGGACCGTGCTACTAATTCAAAAAAAGATTTCAGACATTTTGAATTTAAATCTGAATTTTAAAAAATTTTTTGTTTTGTTCTGTTCCAGAACTGCAGAATGTAAAACGACAACCGATTTTTCCTTTATAATAACGAAAAAATTGCAAAACTAATTGATCCTTGCAGGTTTTGGAACAAAGCATTTATTTGTATATTTCTAACGAAACTGGGACTGAAATGTCCTACCTGTGTTACTTGTCAAACCTGTGACACTAACATTTATCATACTGGAACTTTGTATGATCTTGGCCCTATTTTATCTGAAAAAATACATTTGCAAGACTTACCTTTTGTATCGCCATGATCCACATATCCAGGGGTGCCGGCTGTGGTTAAATCCAAGAACACGACGAGCAGTAGAACTGCACTCAAAATATATTCCAAATTCTTGATTCTGATGGCCATGATGATTATGCTGTTGTTGTTGTTGGTTTGTTGTTGTTACTGATAGCAGTAATCAATATTTAATTAAATCGCTGTCAAATTATTGTCGTTAGACTCTTCTTCTTCTCTATTATTTTATTTTATCTTATTTTATTGTTGTTTATCGCCGATAATAATGGTAGGTTGGAAAAATGTATTTGTAGCTTGTTTTTTTTTTTTGTTGTTGTTATCTAAATTTATAGCTTTCTTGGCAATAATCACTGAAGCATAACACAAGTTTGTAAAAAAAACGAAAAAAATCGACACGAAAAAATCCGCAACAACAATTGTTTGTTTGGCGAAAAAATCACAAATCAATGTAGCGTAACGCAACAAGTTGGGACAACTGTTGTAATTATTCCGAAAAAAATTAAACGTTCAAAGGCAGCCTAAAAGTGTCCCTTGCGAGGGGGAGGAAGGAAGCTAAGTTTTTGTTTTTTACTTTTTCTCAATGAAATTATTTGCCATTGAACAAAGTTGTCAAATAATGACAAATATTACTGCTGTTGTTGTTGTGCATATTGTTGCATTGTTGTAAAATCTGACATTGTTAATATTATTTGCTGTTGTAAAATTCTAAGATTCATTTTGAATGTTTCAGTACAGCTACCTCGCTTATAGAGACTCGATAATGTTCCTCGATTGTCCCCAGGTTATGGTGGTAAGGTTGTGTAGTGCATTCATTATTTTCTCCTGCATTCATGCATATTCAGGCATGCAACTCTCAGACGGGTATGGGTCTTCACGTTCCATGTAATGACCAAACGAACGAACAATCGACCGGTTTGGATTCCCTTTTTATTTTTTTATCTCTTTTTGAACCAGTCTTGGTTTCTTTATTTCTTCTCCTTTGATTATTACAATGAGGCTTCTCGGTAATGTTATTGTTGTTTGTTTTGTTTTCTATTGCACTGAATTTGTTTTTGCTTTACACCTGTTGATTATCATATTCATGGCTTGTTTGCATTTGCATCAACCTGTTCGATGGGAGTTTTGCTGCTGTCTCATTAACTCTCAATTTTCAATTTGTTTTCGTTCTCTCACAATTTATTCCAATTAAATTTTTTAATTATTGAAAACAAATGTTTCATTTATTTTTGATTTGCTTTTGACAATTCTTCCCCGTTTGACAAAGGACAATAAAATTATGGGGTTGAATGATTGGTTTGTTTGTTTTTATTTATCTTCGTTTTTTGCACTTTTCTTTATTTTGCACTCGCAACACAAGAACGACCGACGAACGAACACAGCGACCAACGATTTGTAAACAACGACAACCCGAAAAATCCCAGAGAACACGCAAAGTAATTGGAAACCGAACTCGGATATTATCACAACGTAATCAAAAAACGACGCTCAGGTTTGGACAAATATTTTAAAGATTCACTTGTTTAATTTTCCTTGTTGTTTTTATTTCTTCTCCATTCAAACAATATATTTTGTAATTATTTTCACACAATAATCATTAATATTGTTGTTTAAGTATTCTACAGAAGATTCCAAGTCACAAAGAATCGAACCGCGATCTCGTCTCCACAGAAATAAAAAAACACGTCCGTTTACTTCAAAACTTCGTTGACGAATGTTGTTTTGTTATTTTTGGTAGAGGAGAGGAGCAGCAACAGCACCAACCAATCTCACAATTGTTAAGTAAACAACAATGGCAAGAGAAACAAGTGGTGAGTGAAAGAAAGAGAAAGAAGGAGGAATTTTAAGAGAGTGAACATTGTTGATCTCTTGCTGAGAGCACATTATCGACTTCGAAGTGGTATTTTCGAAATTCGTTTGTGTTCGTGTCTTCGCCTTAATGGTTGGGTTTTCGAATGATGTGTTGCCACACCAAACAAATTTAGTTGTTTTTAGAGAGATGAGGATCTAAAATGGTTGCGAAATTGAATTATTAAAGTAAACGTCAAGGAAAGTAGATAAATTAATAATGATGTATAAAACGCGTTCGCAATAAAAATTATTTTTTATTATCAGTGATGAGTGAAATACAAAGAACAATTATAAGGGGATATCTAAAACAATGGGGATATCTATCCAAAAAAGAGATCATTTAAGAGAAAACTAAAATACTATGTTTCTTTATATTATATATATGTAACGATTCTTTTCCATTGTTTTTAACATGAATGTTGTCCAAGATGATTTATAAAGCGTATTAATACAAAACAAAAATTATAAATAATGTTTTAACACTTATTTGTTGATGATTTAAAAAAACTAAGAGAAATTAGACTGGCGAGAGAGTTCTTGTTTTTGAACAGCTCTGATTTAAAATAACAAGCCCGAGGTTCTTTGGTGTAACCTCCGTTTTAAAACATTTGGATTTGATCTAGCCGTATCCGTGGGTCTGTCTGCCGTGCTGGTTCGCACGAGAATTAGATCATGTCTGAAGATGGGCCATATATGTCTACCACTTCAGGATGCTCATTCACAAAAACTTTATTAAAAAATGATCTGTAGTGGGATTGTCTAACTCATTTTTAGAGTTACCGACAAAAATCGGTAATATACTCATGTTAGGCCCAACAAAGTATATATGTTCTTGATCAGAATAAAATTCTAGGTCGATTTAGCGATGTCCGTCTGTCATCCTGTTGTAATTACGCTATTTTTCAACTGAATTGAGACAGAAGGCTAGAATTTTGCACACATGTGTATTTTACAAGTCGTAAATGGATCATGAAGGTCCACGTTTTCGTATATCCTCCATATAACGGTACCTTCCAATACTCGGTATATTGAGGATTTTAGCGACATTATATACCGGAATTGTTTCAAATTTCGTATTTGAAGTTTGGAATCGGTACTACACCCTATGACAAACAATTATGGAGGTCCTCGTCTTCGTAAAGCCCCCATATAATGGTATTCATTTAGACGGTATTTTTCTACGACTTTTTTTTAATCTTGTTCCTTCCAAATGGCGGAGGGTATTAAAAGATCGGCCCGGCCGCTTTTTTACTTATTTTATGTTTATATTTTCATCCACAAATCTTGTAAAATGTGAAAAAAGTGTCCGATTTTCTTCCAACTTCGAAGGGAAAATATGACCAGGACCTGGCTAAGGGATGTAACATTGTAATCGGACCACATAATCTCATAATTTTTTGTAAATTGCGTTTCTACACAATAAGAAATAAAACTACCAAAATTTAGCCATATCAAATGGAGAACATGGCCATAACGTAATAATAGTAGAAATCGGAAAACATGCCCAAAACGTAAAAAATAGTTGAAATCAGAGTTAAGGATAACTACATCTATTTAAAAAATGGACCGATATGACTCATTTTGTGCACCAATGATTCTGAATGTGTTCCAAAGATCTCCATTAAATTTCGAAGCTCTATCCTAAATATTGCGAAATATCTCTCAAACTGAGTGGTCCCTAATAATATGGTCAAAATTACAAAAGAGCCCTAATAAAATTTGGCCTAAGAACCCGTAACTCCTTTGGAATTTTGATAAAAAAAATCGAGTATTATTAAGTCCATTTGGCATTTTCCACAACCTAGACTGGCTATTGATATTTTTTCATGGTACCTGTTGAATATACAAATTTCCCTTGTTCAGAGACTCACAATGAAATTTGATCTGAAATAAATAAAAGAAAATAAAGTTCGGTCCAAAATATTCATCGGATTTTTATTTGCAATTTTGTCGTACAGTGTTATGTAGTTGAACGACCACACTCTGCTCCGGCGTTACTCAATACTTCGTAAAATCAAACTAATATATTTATATTTTTAAATTTTATATATATTTCTTAGCTTACTGGTAATGCAAAGAGTATGTAGTTGTATTATTAGTAATGCTTCCCCATTTTTTTCTGGTTTAATGATCTTCTTTTTTGTCTCTACTAAACTCAATACCGGGGCACCCCCGTAATTTAAGGGTATTTTCAATAAATTTTTGTGATAACTGAAAACGAAATCTATAAAAATTAGTATTTTTTAGATGACACTATGAAACAACAACATTATTAAGCCATGTTGGGAAGAAATTAAATTTTTATGATTGTCGAATGATTTATGACTCTCTGCGAGCTATTTTAAATTCAAATCACGTTCGACAAAAAATTGGAGACAATGTGGGTGTAAAAGAATTAATACGAATTGTTTGAGAATATGTATGTCTAGTTAAATTAAAAACACATAAATATTTATACGATTGACTAGTAATAGAGGCCCACTTTTCTCTGCCAGTGGTTTAAGTCCCAGCTGAAAGTCCCCTCCCCCCCTCTACCATACTTTAAGGAATTTTCGGACAAAGATTCCTCGAAATTCCTGCATTTTAGGTATATAGTGTCTTCGGCAGTATTGCAGATAAAAATATGCAGAATATTTTGTTTCGAAACTTTAACCCTCAAGCGAACCAAGAAAGGGGTCTTTTTGGTCCTTTTTTAAAACAATGGTTAAAAACTCAATTTAGACGGGGACGTAGTAAGTAAAAATACTGTACAAAATTATATGTCATGAAATTCTACTACAGATTCTAAAAAAGTCTAAATCTTAGCTAAACACCAGGAATTTATGTATATTATAAATACATTTTAGGGTTAAAGCCTTACCTTGTGTGAGTTTTTGCAAGTATCTACAACAAATCATAATTTTAGAAGGATGACATCAAAGACAAAAACATTCTTCATCAAATTTTACTATAAGTCACTGAAGAAAAGAAATCTCTATTTCTATTGTATGCCAAAATATTTTGGCATCAATGTTCCGAAAAAAAAAATAAAATATTTCTTAACTTTTTTGATAATTTTTCCCCGGACTTTTTTCGACTTAAGGCATGAAAGTACCATAAAATTTCGTTGTAGGTGGAAGTTGTCAAAAGAAGAAATATTCTACTCCAAATTTCACTATAAATCTTAGAATAAACTATATATCTAGCTACAATGGTTTTTTATGAAAATTTCATTCAAAATTTATGTATAAAATTATATCTTTGCTCTTTTGTATGGTACATTTAACACATATCCATTCCGATTCAAAATCTCCCTTTATACTTCATTTTTTGAGGAAGGTACCAAAGTAAGAATTATTCCAGATCAAATTTCATTTTGAGTCTCTTAACAAAAGAAATTTCTATATTCAATGTGTGGCATGAAAAAATACCATCAACTTTTTGTTTATAAAAAACCTCGTTTATTTCTGAAAATATTTGCAACGTTTTCCCAATTTGCTGCATATTTTCTTAAGAAATTTCGCTGTCCAATAGCCAGTCTAGGTTGTGGAAAATGCCAAATGGACTTGACAATACTCGGTTTTTATACCAAAACTCCAAAGGAGGTTTGGGTTCTTGGTTCAAAGTTTGTTAATATAGTTTATATTTTTTTGATTTCCATTTAAAATTCATTGATAATTCATACCAAACCCCCGCAGTTCATAGAAACTCAAAATCTCTTTTTTTTTCTGCTTTAAATATTTTATTTATTTCCACTTAAGTACATAAATAACAATCTTATTAATACACATAAACAATTAAAACCCCCTTCAGTTACGGCAAACACAAACGGCCTTGCCATTGCAGTAGCCACCGCGGTTACCGCGCAACAGACAATGGGCAGCACAGGCCGAGTGACCCACACCAGTACCGCTCAACAAATCACAAGTGGCTCTCTTGTAACGGCCATGTAACTCAGGCTCCAACTGCTTGAGGGCATCAGCTCCGTGGACAAAGTTCCTTTCTTCTGCAGGCGAAGCCTTAGCCTGGGCGGCCAGACAGCAGACAGCAACAAAGATGACAGCGAAGACGGCAAAGAATTTCATTTTTGTAAGATTTTTGTTTTTTTTTTTCGTTTTTAGATTGAGTCTCTTTCTCTTGTCTTGAGATATTGAAGGCTTGCTTAGCTTTGATACCAATTCCATGCCATTCACTCTGCTTTTATAGAAAGCTGAGAGCGTGTTCGTATTGTCTGTGCGGTTAGCAGTCGAGGCTTATCGCTAAAGTCAGTTTTTGGTTTGTGATGTGGGGGGAATTACTTGTCTTTGAGTATTTATTTATTATTTAAATGGGAATATAAAAATTGTGTTTTTTTTTAAATTCTTTTTAAAAAATAATGGGGGACTTTCTGAGGCATGGATTTTCCTAGACTATATTGGTATACCCTCTTTAATACTATAGAGGGTGTATTATGCTTCTAACAATTTGAGATGAAATTAAAAAATTTTAAACATATTCGTATTTTATTATATTATATATATATATATATATATATATATTTGATCAGCATAAAATGCCATGTCGATTTAGCGACATCCGTCCGTCTGTGGAAATCACGCTAGCTTCCGAACGAAATGAAGTAGGTTGATAAAATTTTACTCAAATGTATATTATGCCTGCAGGACTTTTGGTATTGAAAATGGACCATGTAGGTCCACGTTTTGGTATAGCCCCCATATAACGGTACCTCCCGATATTCGGTATTTTGGTGATTTTAGCGACATTATTCACCGGAATTGTTTCAAATTTGGTATTTGAAGGCCATAATGGGTACTACAGCCTATGACTGAAAATTATCTCTGCAGGTTCACATCTTCGTATAACCCCCAGATAACTGCAAATCCCGATCTTCGGTATTTTGATGATTTTAGCGAAATTATTCACAGAATTGTTTCAAATTTGGCATTTCAAGTTTGTAATGGATACTACAGCCTATGACATAAATTTTTCCGTGCAGGTCCACGCTTTCGTGTAGCCCCCATATAACGGCACCTCTCGATCTTCGGTTCTTTTATGATTTTAGCGACATAACTCAACGGATTTGTTTTAAGTTTGATATTTGAAGGTCGTTATAAGTACTACAGCCTATGACATAAAATTGTATGTGCAGGTCCACGTCTTCGTATAGCCCCCATATAACGGCACCTCCCGCTATTCAGTATTTAGATGATTTTAGCGACACTATTCACCGGAACTGATTTAAATTTGGTATTTGAAGTTCGTAATGGATACTACAGCCTATTACAGAAAATTGTCTGTGCAGGTCCACGTCTACGTATAGCCCCAATATAACGGCACCTCCCGATATTAGGTCTTTTGATGATTTTAGCGACATTATTCACCGGATTTGTTTCAAATTTGATATTTGAAGTTCGTAATGGGTACTGCAGCCTATGACAGAAAATTGTCTGTGCTGGTCCACGTCTAATATAACGGTTCCTCCCGATATTCAGTATTTTGATGATTTTAGTGACATTATTCACCGGAAATGTTTTAAATTTGGTATCTGAAGTTCGTAGTGGATACTACAGCCTGTGACAGAAAATTTTCCGTACAGATCCACGCTTTCGTGTAGCCCCCATATAACGATACCTCCCGATCTTCGGTATTTTGACGATTTTAGCGAAATTATTCACCGAATTTTTTTCAAATTTGGTATTTGAAGGTCGTAATGGGTACTACAGCCTATGACAGAAAATTGTCTGTGCAGGTGCACATCTTCGTATAGCCCCCATATAACGGCACCTCCCGATCTTCGGTTCTTTGATGATTTAAGCTACATCATTCACCGGAATTGTTTCAAATTTGGTATTTCAAGGTCGTAATGGGTACTACAGCCTATGTCAGAAAATTGTCTGTGCGGGTCCACGTCTTCGTATAGCCCACACACATAACGCACATAACGGCACCTCCCGATATTCGATATTTTGATGATTTTAGCTACATTTTTTCGAGTTTCGCATTTAAATATTGTAATGCCTTATGAAAAAAGTTGCCTAGGCAGGTCTACGTCATCGTATAAACCCTAATATAACGGCTACATTCGGTATTTTTAAGATTTCAACAGAATTTTTTTTCGGATTTTTTTTTTTTTTTTGAAAATTGCCAAATTACCAAAGGGTATTAAAACATCGGCCCGGCCGAACTTAAAGCTTTTTTACTTGTTTTTTGAGAATAGCTCATTGTTATGTTGCTTACTATGGCCTGTTGATCTAGAGGCTCTCTCTTATACCTCTGCACCTCTCTCTCTAGATCATGAAGGTATTTTCTAACGTGCCTGGGCGGAGGTTGACTATCCACAAGATGGTGTTTCGAATAGCTTTGTCTATAACACCCAATCAGGTATTGCATTGACAGCATTTTGTTATGCTGTCGCACCGGTAAGACCTTTGCCAGGGGTCATGAGGAGGCGTCCTGTTGCGGTCCCATGGCGGCTGGTTCTATGTGAATCTCCGACCAGGGGCCGCCAACCCAGCAAATACATGTTCGTAGGATATATAGTTGGTACCGAGCTCGTCTTTATCTAAATGATAAGTGCGACCATAACAAGGTCGTATGAATCTTTAAAACACGCTGTGGGATGATCCCTCTGGGCTATAATAGATTTGATTCCAATGACTTGAATAAAAAATGTCAGCTTTGCAATTTACAGGCGATAGAAACCCTACAAAACTTCTTTGGAAGATGTCCTGTACTTCGAGATTTTCAACTAAGAATATTTCAATTTTTTTGTGTGGAGGTACCAGAATTAGTGGACTGATATTTGCCATCTTCACACCATATCTTGTGTTGATAGAAATATTAGGATGTGCCGAGTTTGAATGGAACCGGATGCTAATATCGCGCTTAATGAGCTTTATGGGTTTTCAAAATTTGTACCCGTTGTGGGGAAAGTACCAGAAGTAGCTCTACGTTCTATCCATTCTTCATTCGAGATCTTGTGTGGATATCAATATTGAGATATGCGAAATTTGAAGACATTCGAACTCTCATTTTTACCCTTTGACCCTTTGTGTAAGAGGCACCAGAAGGATTGGTCCGACAGATTCCATCTTTCCACCTCGTCTTGTGTTGATATAAATATTTTGCTATGTGCCAAGTTTTAAAATTTATTATTTCCCGTTTTATGAACTTAATGGTTATTCAAAATGTTGAACCCTTGGTGGGGGAGGTTCCTGAAGGAGTGATCCGATATATTCCATATTTACACATGATCATGTCTTGATAGAAATTTCAAGAGAATCCGATGCTTATTTTATAAGAGTTATAATTACTCAAAATACCCTACTCTATTGAGTGGACTTTATTTCTTTGTTCCCCCAGCATAACATACCTTATTATAATACCCTGACTGATTCTTCACCAGGAAGACTTTTTCTTCTAAACCAATAAAGAGCTCTCATCGTAAATCCCCTACTCAGAATAGCAAGAAATGCATATGGTGTAGCCCGCAAAAAAATCCCCTTGATCGCAACAAAGATGCGACGCAACGAACATAATAAGGCTGGAGAGTATAAATACTTGAAAACAGCATGACAGCAGATAACAGTCTCCAAGCATATCTCAAACACTACAGCTCGTCTGTTTGCACACACACACTCCCACCACCATCCAACCATCAATCAAACAAAGCCAATAAAAATGAAATATTTCACCATTTTCGCTGTTTTCTTTGTGGCCGTCTGTTACATCGGTCAGTTGAGCGCCTCTCCTGTCCCCAAAGAGGAAGCCAATTTCGTCCATGGAGCTGACGCCCTTAAGCAGTTGGAGCCTGAGTTACATGGCCGTTATAAGAGAGCTACTTGCGATTTGTTGAGCGGTACTGGTGTTGGCCACTCGGCTTGCGCTGCCCATTGTCTGTTGCGCGGCAACCGTGGAGGCTACTGCAATGGCAAAGGTGTTTGTGTTTGCCGTAACTGAGGTGTTGTTTTTTGTTATTGTAGTTTATAAGGAAGTTAACAAGATGTATTATTGTATGTAATAAATTAAAAAAAAAAAATATGAAGCTTAAAAAAATTCAAATGAATTTTTTTGTTGTGGGTGGGAAATCGGGTTTCATGTTTCAAATGAAGGACACATTTCTATTATGGCTAAAGAGATTATATACAGGATGAGATGAAAAACCTGCAACCAACTTCAAACTGCTGTCATTTCTAAACCACTCGTCCGACAGCTGTTAAAATTATTTCAGTGACAGGTCATTATATTGTTTAGAAGTGTACAAAAGCATTTAGGTGTGAATTTTCCAGAGCAGAAGTTATTCGTGATGGAATTCAAGCGTGGTAATGTGATTTCTTCATATTTGGCTGGAAACCCACAAGTGAGTACGGTTAGAGCACTTCAGCATTTAAATGTGAATAAATCTTTTGTGTCTCGTACCATCGCTCGTTACCGTGATACTGGAGCGTAGCCCGACTTCAAGGAAGTGGACGGAAGAAAATAGCAACATCAGCAGAAATGGTTCGAAAAGTAAAGAAGCAACTTGATCGAAACCTGCGTCGCAGTGGCCGAAAATGGCTCGTTAGCTGAAGACATTCCTACAGGACTCAGCACGCGCCACCCAAGAATGATTACAAAATGAAGTTCTTCGCTTCATTTCCAACGCACAATGGCCACTAAAATCTCCGGATACTAATCCGTTGGACTATTGTGTCTGGAGTATTTTGGAAAGCAAGGTTGGCACTAAAAAATACCAAAGTGTCGATCACCTCAAGCAAGCGCCTCGCCGGGAACGAACCAAAATACCGGCGAGCAACATTCGGCTAGAGTGTAACGGTTTCATTGGCCGTTTCAAGACCTTAATTCGTTCCAAAGATGACCAATCCGAACAAATCTAAACTTATTCTAAAATTTGATGCTATTTCCGAAATTTTTTGCTTTCATTCAATAAAATTTAAAAAAAAAAATGTAAAAATTATGGCGTTTCACTTTGCAGTTTTTTTATCTCTCCCTGTATTAGGACTTGCAAAGTTGGGTGATATACCAGAAGGAGTGGACCGATATTGCTTATCTTCGATCTCGACATAAGTTTGATAATAATATTACGATGTACCAAGTTTGGACCAAATCGGATACTTCCTTCGAGAGTTACCATGCGCACAAGTCAGCCAGCCAAACAGACGTATGGAGGGACATCGCTAGATCGGCTCCAAATGTCCTGAAACGGATTTGTTCCAATGAGACCTATGATCTAAAACCGTTATTTCGATGAGTTATATACCGATGATATATACCCTCTCAAGCCATATGGATGAAGTTATAAAAATAATATAAACCGGTGCCAACATTTACTCTACCAACATTCGTCCTTCATTAAGGACACATTAACAGATTTTCCACCCATAACAAAAAAAGAGCATATTGTTTAAGCTTCGTATTTTTTATTTATTATTAATACATCTATTTAACTTCCTTATAAACTACAATAAAAAAACAACACCTCAGTTACGGCAAACACAAACACCCTTGCCATTGCAATAGCCTCCACGGTTGCCGCGCAACAGACAATGGGCAGCACAGGCCGAGTGGCCAACTCCAGTACCGCTCAACAAATCGCAAGTGGCTCTCTTATAACGGTCATGTAACTCAGGCTCCAACTGCTTCAGGGCATCAGCTCCATGGACGAAATTGGCTTCCTCTTTGGGGGCAGGGGAGGCGCTCGACTGACTGATGTAACAGACGGCCACGGCCAAGAAAACAGCGACAATCGTAAAATATTTCATTTTTATTGGCTTTGTTTGATTGATGGTTGGTGGGTGTGTGTGTGTGTGCAAACAGACGAGCTGTAGTGTTTGAGATATGCTTGGAAACTGTTATCTGCTGTTGAGCTGTTTCCAAGTATTTATACTCTCCAGCCTTATTATGTTCGTTGCGACGCATCTTTGTTGCAATCAGGGGGATTTTTTTTTTTTTGCGGAATAAACCATATGAATCGCTTGCCGTTCTTAGTAGGGGATTTACGTTTAGAGCTCTTTATTGATCTAGAAGAAAAGTCTTGCCGGTGAATTATCAGACATGCAATTGTTATTACAACATCTGAGATATGTATAAATTATGCTGTATCTGGTTGGGGGAGCAACGCCAGAGCCAGAGCTATATGTGTCTTCAGTATCGCAAAGGTGGAGAGCATGGAATGGATGGTTCATAGAAGACACAAAAATTAACATCGACTTTTTTCCAACAGCTCCTTACTAGTACAAAATCAAATCAAGCAAGAAAGATTGCACTTTTTGCACTGCTAGTAATGGCAACTGCATAACCTCTGCCTACCAGAGAGATAAAAATAATGAAGTATTCCTATAAAATTTACAATGCAGGATAAAAAATTTTAATTTACCAGGTAATGTGTAACAATGGCACAGATAATGAATATCCGGCTGCAAAACCTAACCAAAATGTACCAAATACAGGGTGAGATAAAAAAAACTGCAACAAAGTCAAACGCCATAATTTTTACATTTTTTTTTTTCAATTTTATTGAATGAAAGAAAAAAAGTCTATTTCCGAAAAATTCACATCAAATTTTAGAATAAAATTGTTCGAATTGGAATTATGACCTTCAAACGGCCAATGAAACCGTCACACGCTGCCCAAATGTTGCTCTGCGGTAATTTGGCCCATTCCCGGCGAAGCGCTTGCTTGAGGTGATCGACTCTTTGGTATTTTTTACTGCCAACCTTGCTTTCCAAAATACTCCAGACACAATAGTACAACGGAGATTTTGGTGGCTTTGGGCGCTGGAAATGAAGCGAGAAAATTCATTTTGTAACCGTTCTTGGGTGGCGCGTTCTGAGTGCGATGGCGCTGAGTCCTGTTGGAATTTCCAAGGTCTGCGGCCAAATGTTTGTGTGCCAAAGGCTTTAATACACCCTCCAGAAAATATTCTCGAAAATATTAGGCATTTATTCTGATGCCACGGTCGATTAATACGAGCGGAGAGCGAACATCGGATGTTATGGTGGCCCACACCATCACCATGGCTGGCGCTTGAGTTCTGCTGGCCAAACGAAGATGCACATTTTCAGCTGACCTCTTTGGCAAGTAAACACGGATCGTTTTGTTTGTTTACAAACTGCTGGACAACGAATGTTTTCTCATCGGAGAAAACCAAATTCGCCAGTTCACCACTTTCGGCCAAGCGAAGCAACTCTCTAGATCTTTTGAATCTATTTTGTTTCTGTTGAGGTGTAAGTTCTTGCACTTTTTGGAATTTCAATGGCTTTACCCCGAGCTCATTTTTCAATATTTGCCGAATGGAATATTGCGATATGTCCAGCTCACGAGCCATTTTTCGGCCACTGCGACACGGGTTTCGCTTCTTTACTTTTCGAACCGTTTCTGCTGATGTGGCTCTTTTCTTCCGTCCACTTCCTTGACGTGGGACTTCGCTACCAGTATCACGGTAACGAGCGATGGTACGAGACACAAAAGATTTATTCACATTTAAATGCTGGAGTTCTCCAACGATAGCCACTTGCGGTTTTCCAACCAAATATAAAGAAATCACGCTTCAATTCCATCACGAATAACTTTTTTCTGAAAAATTCCCGCCAAAAATTTTGTACGCTTGTAAACAATACAATGAACAGTTACTGGAATAATTTTAACAGCTGTCGGACGCGTGGCTTAGAAATGCCAGCAGTCTGAAGTCGTTTGCAGTTTTTCATCACACCCTGTATACTTTGTGGGGTCTAAAATGTATACTTCGACGGTGTTACAAACGGAATGACAAACTTAATATACCCTCCATTTTATGGTGGAGGATATAAAAATTTAAAGCTCTGCGTCAAATAATTTGGGCTGTATCATGATTTCAACAGACGGACATACATCGTTAAATCGACACCGAATTTTATGCTGATGATGAATATATATACGTTATGGGTTCTACGACGAATATTAAGAGGTGTTAGAAACGGAATGACAAATTTTATACACCCTCCTTTCCAAATCCACCATCCTGATCCATTTCATATTTCCAAAAGCAAAAAAAAAACAAAAACAATCAAATGTGTCTTCCTTTACGTTTATGATTTATTTCGAAATCCAAAATATGTTTTAACAGAAACCCCTTCAATTACGGCAAACACATACAGCCCTGCTGTTGCAGTAGCCACCACGGTTACCGCGCAACAGACAGTGGGCAGCACAGGCGCTATGGGCAACTTTGTAAGCGCTCAATAAATCACAAGTGGCTCTCTTGTAGCGACCATGAACCTCCGGTTCCAGGGTCTTTAGGGCGTCAACTCCATGGACAAAGTTGGCTTCCTCTGCGGGCAAAGCTGTAGCCTGGCCGGCAAAACAGCAGACAGCTACAAAGATGACAGCGAATACGGCACAGAATTTCATTTTTTTCAAAAATATTTCTTGGAGCAGGTTTCAAGTGTTTGAAAGCTGTTTAAGTTTTGACATCAATTCACTTTCATTCCACCCGCTTTTATAGTAGGCTTTGTTTGTTTTTCTGTATTGTCTCCACGGCTGGTAAGCAGGAAGAGCCAACCATTGTTGTCTTTGGATTTCATTCAAATTTCATTGTGATTTTTTTATAGAACAAATTTAATGTTTATTTGTTAGGATATGATGTTTATTTTGTTGTAGCCAAATAGTTAGGCTTAATTCCATTTGCGTCACAATTTCTCATAGGCCAGGCAATGTCAGGGATAAGGCCTTACCCGTTTGGGTAAATATTTCCACTTTTTTCTTCACTAATAAATAAACTTTGTTTTATAGAAATAACAAAAATTGTATGAGGCCTGAATTTTTTGGAAACAATAAAGTTTTTTTTTCTATTTTTGTTATTCAAAACTTTCCGCAGAAATTTAAGGAGGGTCGAAGCGGAAATTTTTGAAAAACAATCTAAAAAGTATCAGTCGGTTCTTAGCGACAGATGTATACCCTCAGCTATTGTCCGTTTATTTAAACATATTTTGGCGTCCGTATTTTTTATTCATCATTTTGAGCCTTTATGGGGGAGGTTCCGAAGGAGTTGGCCAACCTTATCCAACTCCTCTCTGATATAAATACTACAACGTGCCATATTTGGACTATATCACTTGATATATATGAGATACGTGATAATTTTTAGAGAATGTTGAAATGTTCGTGACGTGCCAGATATAGTGGATCGAAGTATTCCTCTTCATCTAATAATAATAATAATACAAATATTGGACCTGCAAAATATAAAGAAAGTCGAAAATTTATTTTAAATTTTATGCGAATAATTAAAAAATCGAAATGTTAGCGGAGGTAGCGGAGGGAGTTGGTAGAAAAAATTCATTCACATCAGATTTCCTATTGAGGGAAATATTAAGATATACCAGGTTTGAATGGAATCGCTGTGTTGTTTCGTATGTTATGAGAGATTTAAGTATTTATACCCTACAACACAAGGTGGTCAGGGTATTATGTCTTTGTGCATTTGTTTGTAACAGGCAAAAGGAAACGAGATAGGCCCATAGTTCCTTTTGATGATCTGCATAGAATCACATTCTGAGTCGATTTATGCATATCCGTACGTCTGCCTGTCCATTTGTAAACAAAGTACAGTTCGCATTTATTGCCCGATCCAGATGAAATTTTGCACAAATCATTTGTTTGGCCCAAGGAAGAGCCCTATTGAAATTGAAGATAATCGGTCAAAATTTAGGTACAGCTCCCATTTATATCTTCGTCCGATTTGCTTTTTATTGTGCACCAATCGTCTAACATCAGTCCGAATGGTATGGAATTTTACACGTACGATCAGATTGGACCTGAAAATAAGTATGGCAAATTTGATCGAAATCGGTTCAGATATAGCTATAGCTCCCATATATATTGTTCATCCGATTTGTTATCTTTGTCCTCCACAGCCGTAATATGTACTCTGTAATAAAAATATTTGCGGAAATATATCAAATACAGCTCAGAAATACATTCGCTAAATTTTATCGAGATCGGTTCAGATTTGGATATAGCTCCCATATATAACTTCGTTCGATTAACTTTTGATTGTGCACCAAACGCCTAATAATTGCCCAAATGGTATGAAATGTGGCACTTACGACCGAATTGAGTCTAGAAGCTAGTATGTCAAATTTGGTGAAGATCGATTCAGATATAGCTATAGCTCCCATATATATTGTTCATCCGATTTGTTATATTGGTTACCCACAGCCGTAATATGCACTCCGTAACAACGATATTCAGGGAAATATATCAAATACAGCTCAGAAATATCTTTGCCAAATTTTATCGAGATCGGTTCCGATTTGGATATAGATATATTTTAATCCAATTTCAAATAATTGTGCACCAAATGGGCAACACAAGTCCGAATTTAAATTATAATTATAATCATGACGTGTATGATTGAATTCTCCCATAAAAACTTTTAATTTTTATGCGGAGCTCTACTAAATTAGTAAAGTGGTGTAGGGTATCATAAAGTCGGCCCCGCCCGACTTTAAGACTTCCTTCACTGGTTAAAATTGTGATTCCACAAGTGGTAGGCCGATATCTATCATCTTCACACATTTTATGGCAGATATAATTATTCAAAACTTTGACCCGTTGTGGGGAAGGTAGCGGAAGGTGTGGTCCGATATATACCATCTTCACACCAAATCTTGTTTTAGTAAAAATATTGAGATGTCTGAAGTTTGAAAAGAATCCTACGCTTACTCCGCCCTTTTTAGAGTTTTGTTATTAAAAATGTGATCCCTCTGTGGGGGGGGGGGGGTGTACCAGAAGGGGTAGATTAATATAAGTCATCTTCACACCAGATCTTGTGTTTATAGAAATATTCGGTTGTGCGGAATTGTAAGAGAGTCGTATACTTATTTAACGTTTTGTGAGACATATAACTATTCATAATTTTGACCCATTAAGGGGGAGATACCAGAAGTAATGGTCCCATATATACCATTTTAACAATAATAACAGATCTTGCGTTAATGGAAATATTGAGATATACCAAGTCTGAATGGAATCGGATGTTAACTTTGCGTTTTATGAGGTATTCAACATTTTGATCCCTTTGTGGGAGAGGTATTAGAAGCAGTGCGCCCATATATCCCATCTTCGCCTCCGATTTCGTATTTATATAAATAATAGGATATGTGAAATGTGAAGAGAACCGGATGCTTATTCCGGATTTTATAATCGTTTTGGTTATTCAAAGCTTTAACCCTTTGTGGAGAAGGTACCAGCAGGAATGGTCGAATCTCAGCTATCTTTATAACAGATCTTGTGTTGATGAAAATATTGAGATGTGCCAAGTCTGAATGGAATCGGAAGTTAATTTCATGTTTTATAAATTTCATGAATATTCAAAATTTTTATCCCTTTGTGGGGGAGGTACCAGATGGAATGGACCTATTTATTCAATCATCTCACCATACCTTGGAATAATATAAATATTGTGGTATGTGTAATTTGAAGAGAATCGGACACTTACATCACATTTAATTGGAGCTATAATTATTCAAAATGTTAACCCTTTGTGGAGGAGTTACTTGATCGAGTGGACCGATATTGTCCATTTTCGCACACGACCTAGCACTGATGCAAATATTAGGATTGGCAAAGTTAAAGCAAAATCGAACTACCCACTACCTTTCTGTGCAGTAAATTATTTTCTTTTAAAATGTTAACATTTTGTGGGGGAGGTAACAGAAGGATTGGACCGATATTGCCCATCTTCGAACTCGATCTAGGTTTGATAATAATATTACGATGTTCCAAGTTTGGATCAAATCGGATACTCCCTTCTAGAGTTATCGTGCGCACATCGCTAGATCGACTCCAAATGTCTTGAAATGGATTTGGCAAAATAGACCTAGGGTCTAAACCCATTATTACGATGAGGCAAGTTTTTGGCCGTATCAAATTATATATACCCTCTGTAGCCATATGGCTGAGGGTATAATAAGTTCAGGAGCTTCTCAAAAATTTCTGATAAAACAAAAAAATATTTTTGTGATTGATTGAAAAGATTTCAAATGTAGAGATGATTCAGAACGATTTATATGAGTTATGTTTTTTTGTTCGACACCTCTAAAGGAATTTGTGTCATGCCATACTCGAACCTTAGACATAGCAGAGCATGCATTTATTCTTAATTTCCAAAAACGCATGTCTCTGACAATTTTTGGCTATCGATAATTTAAAAAATCGTGACGTGGCCCATATTTTATCCTAAACGAAACTTCGTCCTCAGCTTCTAAACAAATTCAAATAAAGACGGGCAATTCTAAGAGCATTAGACTTGCATGACCTATGTTTCATTCCTTAAAACCTGAAAAAAAAAATAAAAATCCTCCTCTTTGATTTTCAAACTGGGAACAACCACGCCCACCCCCCCCCCCCCCCCTTTGAAACGGTGCTTCACTTCAACATGGAATTTTCCATCTGCCCTCACTATTTCCCATTCACACTGAGTAGGAGACCATAACAAATGAATTGAAAAAAAAAAAACAATGCCTTGTTTAGACATCTGTATTTGCTCATAAGTTTTATAAAAATAAACAAACTTTGCAAAATAGAATTGTGTTTCCCCTCCTCAAACACCACACAAGCGAATCTGTCACCCACAATGATAACCTCAAAAACTACCCAACAAATAAAGCATTTATAAATATTTCAAACTGAAAATGCGCAATAGGCCACAATAATACGATTGCTTTTCATAATTTTGATGAGTCGTCGAATAACCAAATCAAATAAAATATATTTTCGAATAGAACGAAATGCCTCATTCTATTACTAATTTTCAGTCTTGTGGACTTCGATTTGAGCTAAACAAGTAATGAAATTATGAGAAATGGAGAATCGAAATTTATCCAGGGATCCTAAGTCCTAAGTCCAATTCAAACCCCACTCTCGTAGCCGTTAAAAGGTAGTATCACTGTGATTCAAAATTTATTATACCTGATCAAAACCCCATATTTGGCTTCGGTGATATGTAAAATATTTCTGAGCTTTAATAGTTAACATATTAACCCATTCGCTGCGGAGATATCACCTTTCGTTTTTTATATTGACGTCGCTAGTTCACAAATGTAGGCCTGCTATCCACCATTCCACCATTCTATGGAGGGTATATTAGCTTTATCATTCCGTTTGTAACTCCTCAAAATATTCGTGATAGACCCTACAAAATATATATTCTGGATCAGCGTAAAATTCTAGGACGATTTAACGAAGTCCGTCTACCTTTGTGTCTGTTTACCCGTCTGTCCGTTGTAATTACGCTATCTTTCGAAGGAATTGAGATAGAAGGCTAACGCACGTGTGTATTTTTTTCAGTAGGCAGGTTAAGTTCATAAATGGGCCATGTCGGTCCAAGCTTTCGCATAGCCCCCATATAACGGTACCTTCCGATATTCGATATTTTCGTGATTTTAGCGACATTATTCACTGAAATTGTTTCAAATTTCGTATT